TACCAGAAGTTGGTCTTTCTTGAAACGACACTAATGAAGATCATGATCCCTGCTTATACCAATATCAATGCGACGGCCCGAACCCATTAGTTTAGGTTTAGGTTAAGGTTATCTCTCGAAACTGTTTAGGGAATTCAAAAATTACAAAATTGGTCAAGATTTACTCTTTACCGTTTTTACTTTAGTAAAATTGTCAAAAAAGTCATTGATGAAAATTACCTTTTACTAGAGTCATGTCAATGACTAAAATGTAATGATGTTTGTATAAACAATAAAAGATCTGTGGTTAAAAAGTTCTTCCTGGTAAAAACGAATTTTTATTTGTGCAAAAAAAAAAATCACCGATAAAATAAATTTGGTACGATAAATATTATCATTCTTGGGTTACATGGCAATTAATTTTTAGATGATTGATCATTATGATCACAATACAATCAATACAATTTGGTTTCCTTAAGAAAGAGAAAAAAAAACTCTTGCGTTTCTTCAGTAAAAAAGTTGAATATTGTATCTTTTTACAATTAGACAGTTGGATTTTTACTGGATTAAATTTGTCATCATAGTGGTTGAATGCATTTTTATATATTTGCAATAAATTAAAATTAAATTGTTTATTTGTGCTTGTGTTTTTTCTCTACAAGTTGAAAAATTTTATGACACTCCCCTAACTGAAAAAGTTAAATTTTTTTTACATTTAAATAAACAAAAAAAAAAAGCGGTGAATACCTAAAAGTAAGAAATTTTTTTACAAATCAAATATTTAAAGCTTTGCTTTTACAGCTTTTTTACTTTGGATGGGGGGACCTCCGGGTTATTTGAGGTTGGTGATTGATCACCACCTATGCTATTGTAATCGGCATCGTCATCATCATCACCATCTTGTTGATGAGTGTTCTTGACCTTTCTTTTTCGGAAAGGGCTCAGACCCGGTGATGTAAAAGTTCCTTCAATAGGAAGATGCCATTTATTTTTTGTTGTTGAATGAGCAATTTCCATTGATGATGTACTAGTAGTGGCTGTAAGAGCAGTAGACGTCCTCATTGATAATGAAGACTGATCATTATTTTCGTTGAATATTATCCTTGCGCATTTTGGTGGTGGATTATTGTTGATGATAGTGTTATTCGTGGCATTAAATTGTGAATCTTCAGAATCAGAAGATTCATTTTTAATTATTTTAGGGGCAGAAAATTTGTCAAGGGTAGTGGTCATGAATAATGGTGGTAAGTTATAAGAAGTAGATGATGTGGTGTTGGTGGTAGCGGTGATGTTAGCAGTTGTTGGTGAGGTTTGAGGGGGGGTTGGTAAAAAATTATTATTATTATTATTGTAGTTGTAGATTTTATTGTTATTATAATTAATATTATTAACGTTAGATGTGTTAATAGCAGTGGTAGTAATTATGGGATTCTTTGGTGACGACAATAATTGTGATTTGAGTGGTGGTGGTGGCATTTGCAATGATTGTAGTGGTGGTGGAGTTGGAGAGGAAGAGGTAAAAGCAGCGAAAGAAGCATTAGAGAAAGCAGAAATAGCTGATTTCTTTGCCATTATATCATCGATACTTTCCTCTACAATATGCAATTTAGATGTTCCCATTGCAACCTTTGCATTGTCATATGCAATCTTTTCTTTTTCATGTCTATCATGATATGGCTAATAATAGTAATATATTCATTCAATATGTTTGTTTATTTATTTTCAAACAATAGATAATTATTGATTGAAAGAAAAAATATGGTTTTTTTTACCTGTTGTTTTTCTTTTGATAAACTTTTCCACTGACGTCCAATGAATGTAGAAAGTTCACCAAATTTTAATTCTGGATGTTGAGATTTTACAGTTTCATAAACTTCATTCATATAAATCATATAACCATTTCTTGGTTTTTTAAGTTTGTTAATGTTCTGTAACCTATAAGCCTTCTTCTTATAATTATAATTCTTTTTCTTCTTTTTCTTCTCGCCTTCTGGCTTCTTCTCCTTCCCATCATCTTCGTTTTGAGGTGAAGAAGAATTTTTGTTTTTATTTTTTTTTGATTGATTATCGGCAAAATCATCACTATCATTATTGTTATTGTTGCTGTTGCTGTTGCTGTTGTTTAGTGAATGTAAATGTGACGAAGAAGATGATGACGATGACGATGACGATGACGATGACGATGATGATGTATTTGTTAATGATGGTGGCAGTGAAGACGATGCTTCGGAAATTATATTTGGCCGATACAAACTATTATTACTATTATTTCGGTTATATGCCAATACAGACTCATCGGTTTTCTTCCATGAATTAGAAACACTTTCAAACATACTTGATGCCTTTTAAAACACATACAATATCATTATTATTATTATTATTATTATTATTATTATTAGATTATAAAACGTTAACAATTGTTAATATTAATTAAATTTAAATTTAAAAAACTTAAAAAATATTCTTCTTCTCTCTTCTTACATGCTCATTTTTCTCTAGCATTTCTTCTAATACTTGATGACTCAAGATAATTGCATTAGGTTTAGTAGCTATATTTGGCAATTCTTTAGCAGAAAGAATTCTAATTTGGGATTCTTGTATTGAATTATTATCAGATTTTGAAATATAATTTTTTTTTCCTGTTACTGACTCTTCCTTTTCTTTAAGGTGTCTATTATTAAATTTTCTTTTACTGACAGTATTACAATCCGTTTGTCCAAATGTTTCGAAAACAAAATTATAGTTTTTGTTATTGGCGTTATCATTGTTAGAGTTGTTGTTGTTGTAGTTGTTGGTGTTATTATTACGGTCGTATTGAATTGAATCGGTATCGTTGTTTGTTAAAGCTTTAATGCTCATAATGTTTTTTACGCTTCTTGAATTTGACATTTTGTCAGTTACGTTTGTTTAAAAATTTATGTTTTTTATTGTATATGAGAAACAGTATGCAATATTAATATAATAATTGATACTACATGCAAATATAACGAAATTGAATGCTGATTGATTGAATGTATTGATTGAATGTATAATAGGCAATATATATAATAGTAATTATAATGGTAATTGAATATTTTGTTTATTGTAATCGATGTGATAATATAGGGTGGAAAATTGTAAAAAAAAAAATTTTTTTAACAAATATTCCATCCAATATATATAAATTTTTTTTTATGTGGCTTTTATTTTAATATTATAATGGAATAAAAAAAAAAAAATAATAAGGAAAATTTTATTTAAATAAACAATAAATAATGGAATTTTCAGGGGGCTATATCTCGTAATAATAATAATAATAAAATATTTGGGTTAAATTCGAATTTTATAATTTTAAAAATTGGGCTTGCATTTGTACTTGATCGTCGTTTATAATTGATTAGGGCAAGTATGAAACTTAATATCTAGCCTATTGTATGAGCTAGGCATTCCTTAGACTTGCTGTTTAGGAGATACCCTCTTTGATATATGTTTATCCTTCCTCATTGTATACTCCTTCCAGTCTTTACTATGACAAGCCAGTTTATTTGCATTCTGTGTCACTTTTCTGCATATTTTGTGCTTTTTGAGGTGCAATGTTTTCTTATTATTAAATAAATAATATCTTGAGGGGAAGGGAGAAAAGTTTCAAAAAAATCATTAAAAAAAAAAATATAAAGCCGAATCGGCAAGGCGGAAAAAAGCCTGGCAGCTTGGCTCGTTATGCTTGAAAGAGCAATCATCAAAATGAAGAAGTTATCAAAAATTTCCGACAAGTTATGTTCAGAGATTAGTTTTAATTTTGTTATTATATTCCTATTAAAATCAACATAATGGCTTTTCTCCTAACTTATTAAAAATCCTATGTAATCTAAACCAATTATAAATATTTAAATCACAAATGCTAACCGAAATTGGCTTTGTATTTACCAAATATTTAGGATTCTCGATTATGTGAATAGAGTCTAAAATAATTTTGGCTACTAGAAAATTTTAATTTCGGCATTTCGGTCGTATTCGGCAATGATCACTTATTAAGGACGATTTTCTTCCAACATCTATCTGCCTATAATTTAAATAGAAACAAAGCACACTCACGATCACATTGAGAAGGATGATGAAAAAAGACGCCAAGGTGAAGCTTTGTAACATTTCTGGCTCTACAGGAACGGCCAAAAAAAAAAAACTTGTAAGTAGAAACAATTTGATCTGATTACTGGACTGTTCGCATGGCTGTTTCTTGATTATTAGATTAGGAATGTGTAAAAGAACTGGGATTTCAAGCCTTAACTCCAATAGCAGAATATTATCTTCCGGAAAAAACGGCCGAAATGCCTATTTATATTGAAAATAACCTTAGACAGATGATGTTTTTCAGCCTTTAACATCTATTAGAAAGTTGGAAATCGGAAAGTATATATTCGCCCGAGTATCTAAAAGATGTTGCTTTACAAATGATGCATGAGGTGTACTTGTTTGTTAGTTTTTACTTGTCATATTTCATTCTTTATAATGCAGATGATGACTGTTAATAAAATTCAGCCCCCGAAATTGGGGTTGAGAAAAGTAGAAAAAAGATCAGCATTTGTTAAACCAAAAATGGTTGTACATAATAATATTTCTTATATTTCTATGAGAAGTCCCTAATTTGCTTATTGTACATATAATAACAATAAATGGTAATAAAAAAACTAGAATCAATACTTGAATTTAAATTATTTAGATTTGTAAATAAATAGTGTAATAAATAGTGTAGCGGATTATACAAACTAAGTAATCAAAATTAATGAATGTAATTGTTTGTGGAGCAGATTACAAACAAAATTTAATTAATTTTAGTGAAATTGTTCAACATCACAATTATACTAATATAGTGTAACTAATGATTAATATTATTATTATTATATTCTCTATATAGGCATTAGTGAAGAAAACCAAAAGATGCTTGGCTTATTTCTTTGCTTTAACCATTTAAATTTTATGTTTTAATTCCATTTTGATATTTGTTTCGGCTAAATTTTTCGAGCCAGAAGACTATGACAACCATTTTGGTATTATTAATCAATAATTTCCCATGCTAAACTAACTATCGCCCCTAATCAAGTTAATAGATATTCGCCATTTTTTTCCGCTGCTTATTTATAAAATGACCTTTTGAATTTGTTGTACAAAGACGATGCTGCTTGCATAGGGAATAATTATCCTAATTGAGCCTCCCAATCAATTGGCAATGCTCTTTCTTTTGGCGCTCTCTAAGTTGCTGGATATAATCATAGACAACTTGCCTAGCTCACTGAAGGCTTTGTTAGAACTACTAACGATCGCTCGTTCTCATTTCCTTGCTTGCTGTCATCCGAATTAGCCAGATTATTTAAGTTCACGAGTTTGGTTTGCATTCCCTTTACGATTAAGTAATTGCTGTCGTTTTTCTAAGGTTTCACCGGTTAATTGCTTCTCCCAATTGGAACTAGCATCTTTTAATCATTAAATGGAGTTATCTCGTTAATTTATTTCTTCTAATTGGCTTTGCGCTTTGGCTAATGTTGTTGACGGAATGTTATCAGAGTTGTAGAGTTATTATGTCAAGTTTATTGCCATTAAGTCAAAACAACAATACTAAAAACTTTGGCATTCTTGACTAAAGTAAAAAAAATCATGACTAGAAATCATTTAATTGAAGTAAATATTTTTTTGTTTTTTATTTTCTCTAACTCAGTTATAAAAAAATTTTCAAGTATGCATCATTTTTATTGATAATCAATATCAACGCTCCAATTTCATATTTGAGTTATCGTAAATTATCAATGTTACTACCATAATAGAATTTCAGGTAGTTGATCCAATTCTTATATTTTATAAATACCAAGCGTATTTCAAAATAAAATAACAATTATAAAATACCTTTTGTTAAAAAAGTTTTTTTAAAGACCATATGAGAGGTGGCAAAAACAAAGCCAGGAAAATTTATAAAAGCTCTCAATTGGAGAAAAAGCTACATATTATAGTCACGTGATAAAATTTTATTGTGGTATTTTATTAAAGGTTCATCATGGTATTAATGGGAATGTGGCGATGTTTAGCAAGTTATCCAAAAAAGAATTTTTTCAATTGAAATTTGACATGTTAATATTAATATATATAAAAAGGTCAAACAGTAATTAAAATCTGTAAATGTCATGCTTAATGACCTAAGTGCACATGAGCATTTGATCAATTACAAATAGAATTAATTTTCCTTCTTTGTAATATTACTTGATATATACATTAATATATAATGAAATCAAGTTTTTTGTTGTAACGCTAAAAAACGTGCACTGTGTTCACAAAAAGTGTTCAAGAAATAAGTATCCATCCATATTAATATCAAGAAATTAGTCGATGGGATGCTAAGAAGCTAATAATTATCATAAAATACTGTAGTAGTAGTTTATTATCTATAATTGAATTTAGTGTTAGATTGAATAATTTACTAAATATGGAATTTAAAATTTTGTTTATTGATTTGTTCTGAATTGGTTAATGATATGAACCTTTTAATCAAAAACAAGTTTAATTGAAAACATTACCAATAATGATAAATCTGAAAAAAATTGTTTATTTTAGTGATGATAATGATAGTGGTGATAGTGATAGTGATGAGGTGACAAGTGATATTGATGTTCAATTTTTATTATAATATATATTTTAAATTAATCTTGATTTAAACATTTGCTTTTTTGCTTATACCAATATCAATGCGACGGCCCGAACCCATTAGTTTAGGTTTAGGTTAAGGTTATCTCTCGAAACTGTTTAGGGAATTCAAAAATTACAAAATTGGTCAAGATTTACTCTTTACCGTTTTTACTTTAGTAAAATTGTCAAAAAAGTCATTGATGAAAATTACCTTTTACTAGAGTCATGTCAATGACTAAAATGTAATGATGTTTGTATAAACAATAAAAGATCTGTGGTTAAAAAGTTCTTCCTGGTAAAAACGAATTTTTATTTGTGCAAAAAAAAAAATCACCGATAAAATAAATTTGGTACGATAAATATTATCATGCGATATATAATATGTAACAGAAAATTTTAATTTATTAAAATAAATTTACACACATGTTGTAACATGTTAATGTATACTTTAATATAACGTATTAACATTAATATCGGAAATTTACAATAGCGATATTAATGGTATCATATTGATGTTTTGTTTTATTATGATTATCTAAAAATTCTGCTCCATTAAATTATTGATGATATGGCTCATTGATAGCTTTGCCTTCCTATTTGACACTTTTTATTATTCCAAACTTGTTATACAATGATGTGGGCGTTAGCTTACTATAGTAACGGGAATCTAAATAAAGTTTTATTGGAAATGTCCATTTTAGTTTGTGCTGCTTTGCTTTATATACATTTTGGGAATTTTCCACTTAATTTGTCTTTTTTAAAAAAAAATTGATAAAAGTATTTGGGGAAATTCTCCAAATTATTGTTACTTCAAACAAATAATTGAACGTTGAAATCCTAATAAGTATAATTGGGTTTGTCTAACGTTTTGGATGAATGAATTGTCCGATTTTATGCCCTTTACGTGCCGCTGAGAACAGAGCGGCGAACCATAATTTTCGATGTTTTCCTTAAGGGAAGTAGAGTCAATGTGTGTATATATATTATAAGTTATTTTCTTCAAGGTTAAGCAATTTTGAAATATAGTGAATTTGACACAACTTTTGAGTAACATTTAAATAGCATTAACATCTCCCAAAATTTAATAACGATACGATCTATGATATGGTGTAATGCGCCAATTATCCAAATAAATAAATAATATCAATGCTGTGACCAGAACCCTTGGGGTAAGTTCTCTCCTGGGAAACTGTTTTGGAAATTCATATAGAATTTAGGTTACAGTATTGATATTAATAACAAGAGCAATTATTATTGTATATTACTTCAAGAATTATTTATTTCAAGATTTTACCTTTTTCTCTTCGTGAAAAAAACTCCTTTTAGTCCAAATACTTTAGTCTTAACTTTGACATGCATAATCATTATCAGTAAATTTTTAACTAATAAATTAATTGAATTTCCTCTATTTTTTTTTTTTCTATAATTTTACAAATTTCAAGGTCGTGATGCTTACAGAAACAAATGTTTGTCTCATTAAATTCAGCTTTAAATTTTTGTTGTTATTTTAGGTTACTATAATATCTTTTACAAGTAAATCGATTCACAACACAAATGAGCTATCATTCAGCTATAAACTATTGAGATATAGGCAGATAGATGCTTTATAATTTTTTTTACCTCCCCGACAATAAATAATGATGCCAAAATTTCTTGTAAGAGTCGCAATACCGGATCCATTTCTTTAAGAAGAAGAAGAGTTTGTCGAAGTTCTTACCCCATGGCAGTCGATATTTATAGATCGTAAGGGTTAATTAATTATTTCAAACTTAATCTCTCGACTGAAAAAATTAGATTAGATTTAATTACGATTATTATTTTCTCAGTTAGCCCTGATAATTTAATAAGCAGGGATCATGATCTTCATTAGTGTCGTTTCAAGAAAGACCAACTTCTGGTAGAAAAAACATAATCACAAAGATTTCACATAGTGAAAGCATTGAGCATAACAACCCTTTTCACAATATGTTTACAACGATCTTACAAATATTAGCGAGATATTATGAAAGTTATTGTAAAAATATTGCAAAAACGGTTGTTATGCTTAATGCTTTCAATATGTGAAATCTTTGTGATATGTTGCACCTGAAGTGTTAAATCACACTTTGGGCTGTTGATGATATTAGCATCAAAAGGACAAGAATATCCTCTCAGATATATATATTGAATAAATAAATTAAGGCTGGCTTTAATTATTCGATAACTACAACAACTGTAGAATGTGATGAATTTCTTTTCTTTCTAAAAATGCTTTTTAAAGATAAAGAAAATTTTATTGGAAATAACTTCTCACAGGAATTATTATGTTATCGTAAGAGATGAAACACAAATGTATACATAACAAATAATTTATTCAACAGTTTTATTTGGATTATTCATCTTGTAGCTTTTAATTCAATCTAATGCTATGATTGCTAATAATTAGGAATTTTAATGATCTGGTATAAACAGCATTTGGATGAATATTTGCAATAATCGTTGAAAGATCAAATATAATTTCATCCATTTCATCCGCGCCATGCTAGACAAAAGGTATCATCAATATTGCAATTTTTGAAAAAGATTCAACAATGTTGTGAATAATTACAACACTGCTCCAAGGAATTACTTTTACCATTCAACAAAAATCTTTAAACCAAAGAATCCGTTCATCAAATATATTTTATATAACTTGTCTTGCAAGCTCGATGCATCTTGTCTTTAACACTTACTTCGCAACCATCGAATAATTGATAAACGTTCATCAATATATTTACAAACTTGCTTTGAAGCTTCGTAGATCTTGTCTTTGACATTTCTACAACTATTGAATAATCGTTAAACATTTATCAAGTATACTTTACAAAACCTGCTTTGGAAGCTTCGTAGATCTTGACTTTAACATTTACTTATACAACTATTGAATAATTGATAAACGTTCATCAATATATTTTATAAAACTTGCTTTGGAAGCTTCATAGACCTTGCCTTTAACACTAACTTCAATCAACCTGCCCATATGATTTGAATAATTGACAAATGTTCATCAGTATATTTTACAAACTTTCTTTGAGGCTTCGTAGATCTTGTCTTTAACACTTAGTTCACCCACCTATATAACTATTGAATAATTGATAAACGTTCATCAGTATACTTTACAAAACTCAATTTGCAAGTTTCATACATCATGCATCTTGTTACTTTCCACAAACTCGCCCATTATACAACTCTACTTTTTCATCATGTATACTTTTGAAAGTTTATAAAGAGAATAAATAAAAAAATTTATTTAATTTGAAGTAAATCGAATTTATTCGGTGAATGTACCCCATAATGCATGAAAAAAAACTTCTCATTCAATGTATAAGGCAAGTTTTCCATTAATGTTGGTCTGCTGTTAATTTAAATATTACTCTTGAATAGTATCATTAACAGTTACAAGCTATTGTATATGAAGTTTTACTGGTATGAAGTTCCAGCCTTCTAATTAGGTGCCTGAGGACTTAGATTTAATGGGTGGAACCGTAAGATCCAGTTATTCGCTTATCGAAAGTATGTAAAATATTGTTGGTTTCTGATGGATTATTCTTGATGAGTTATATCCTGACAGTTTATGAAGCTGGCCATGTAACGAATTTCCATGTTGAGAGGGCATCTTTATCTATTGGGCAGCTGTTGCGTTTGGTAACATTAAATTTTTATTATTTTTAATTAAAAATAAAATATTAAAAAGAATTTCAATTATGAAAAACAGATATGAAATTAGATCTCCGGAATTAATGGGAGGAATGAACGGAGTGAGTATAACAGATCTTGGTTTTTTAATCTGTATTTGTTATTACATTTATTAAATATAAATAAAAAAATAATCATACTTGATGAACGTTTTATCAACTATTCAATGGTTATATAGGCGAATTATATGGAATTAAGTATATTTTGTAAAATATACTGATGAACGTTTATCAAGTATTCAATAGTTGTATAGGCAGGTTGTGGAAGTAAATATTAAAGACAAGATCTATGAAGCTTCCAAAACAAGTTTGCAAAATACATTGATGAACCTTTATCAATTATTCTATAGGCAGGTTGATGGAAGTAAATGTTAAATACAAGATCCATGAAGCTTGCAAAACAAATGAGCGTTCATCAATTATTCAATAGTTACATAGGAGTGTTGATTGGATTAAAGAAATGTTAAAGACAAGATCTACGAAGCTTCCATGCAAATTTTGTAGAATATACTAAAAGGTAGATTCATTAATATTTATACATTTTTATTTATATATACAGTATATACATACATAAATAAAAGTGATTAATGAATCTTTAATCCGATACATAAAAAATCACTAATAAATGAATACCTTTCTTTTAATTTAATCATTGCATTTCTAAATATAATTTACAAATGTAAATATTGCGTAATTATTTAAAAATATTTTCTTTGCAGCAACGTTGTAATTATTTACCGCATTGTTGGAATATTTTATAACAATTGTTGTAATTATTCACAGCATTGTCACAACAATTGTTGTGATTCTTTGTAACTATTCACAGCATGAAATTTTTTGCAACAATCGTTGTAATCTTTTACAGCAATGTTGTAATTATTCACAGCATTGTTGAGATCTTTTGCAACATTTGTTGCAATTTTTGTGTCTATTTTTTAAATTGAAAAAAATTACAAAAAAGTGTTGTAAAGAAGAATCACAAAAAATTATAACAATTCTGTGAAAAATTGCAACCATTGCTGATACCTTTTGCCCAGCACTGCGCGCGATAATGATTTCAACAATCGATTAACTTGATAATCGGTGAATATTCACGAATATCATTACCAGTTCACATCTTAACTAACGATTAAAAATATATAAATTTGTGGAAATTATTCAAAACATGCATAATAATCTTATCTAAAATTTGTAGCATCATTTTTAACAAAAATTTTAAGATAGACAATTAGAATTCTTGACCTTCATTAAAAAAAATATCTTGATGAAAAAGATCTTATCACAAAAATCGAAAAGAATGGGTAAAATTACAAACGATGTCCTAATGAAATTGATTGAGAAGAATTGAAGTATAGTTATTAAATATAATGGGTGACCAACAATTTTTTAATCACGTGCACAATTTTTAATGTTGTAAAAATTATATTTTTTATGAAAGATTCGAAATGATTCTTTTACCTAAAAACCCTCGAATGATATTACTAAGTCATAGAAAGACTGAATCAAATTTATTATGGCGAACTAAAATGGTTATTGGAGTAATCCTTCCTTTTATGTGTATTACTTGGATATATCAAAAATTTGATCGATTTAATTATTAGTGAACAGCCTTTAATTGATTATTCTTATCAGGAGTTGGTCCCAATACCTCCAAGTATGTTAGTAAATTATTATCTAATCGAAATGGTATTTTTTTTAAGCAAAATCAATAGTTTATAAAATATCTATTTTTTATTATAATTTTAAGCATTTGATATTCTAACATCAGAAATTAATTGAACATATGGCTAACCATTGGTAATATGCTTCTAATAGTAAACTTTTATAAATTTAATCATTCAATTTGGCATATCATTAACCAAAATTATTCTTAGCAGAAGGAGAACATGATTGTTCTGCTAATATTAAATTGCTGGGGGGATCCTATTCAATATGAGCACAAAGAGCAATCATTATACTATAAATATAAATATAGGTTTACTACTTCTGATAATATTGTTAACAATACTCTGACAATATCATGGAATAGCAATGTAATTTCTGAGCATTCTATTGTAAAACTTTTATTTATTTTGGTAAAGGTAAATAAATATAAAATTTTTAAAATCATATACTTTAGTTTAGTATAATGTAATATTATTATATTTCACTTCTACCAAAAAATATAATTAGATGTTATCAAAAAAAAAGATATCCAGATCAAGCTTTCCTCCAAAAATTTACAGATTATTCTCGACCTGATTTGCTCATGTTCATTCAAAAAAGTAAAGTATGTTCATTAATCTATTTAAGAACGCCGATGGTTAATGCCTTGTAATTAAAATTTTATTAACATGATTTATAATCTAATCTTAGCTGAATTACATTCAAATTAAACGGAATAGAAGAAAATACTTATTTTGTGATTGGTCAAATTATTTGGCTATTATAATTTTTATATTTCAATTCCTCTTTACAACCAACCATAGATTTAGGTAACTGTTAATTCCAATTATATGAATTACTTAAATTCCAACTAAAATATTCACTCCTAATTTCAAAATAACTGAAGTACCCGGAATCAATGATACACTGATCATGATTTTACCATTTCATTCGCCTCTACCTGACACTGAGTCTGATTTTTTTGAAACTGTTGAAATAGAAAAATGGTGACTGTATAAGTTATAATTAAAATCTTTGAAAGGTTTTTTATTATACTGACATGAACTTTTTCAATAATTTTGTTTACTGCCGACATGAAACTGTAAGTATTATATATTTGTAAATATTAGATCATTCTTAAAATATACGCATGCCTTTGTTTTGTTTATATTTGATATTAAGCATGATTTGCGTTATCAGATCTTAAAGCAATATTGGCTCACTTGGAGGTGCAATTAGCATAATGTTAGGAAATTATGCTTTATATGGTAAATTTATTAGTTATTTTTTAATGAATAATCATAATAATAAATTAATTGATTTTCACATAACAGGTGGATCAATCAAAGACCCATGGAGAATCTTTCAGGAATGTTGTTGCAAGTATAAATCAAGATCAAAAAGAAAGCTTTTACATAGATTACCAATAATTCATTTGATAGAAGAAACTCAATTACAAATTATAAAAATAACTCAGATATTTCACAAAAAGAATATACAGATCATCATCTTATTGCAAGATTATATTCCTTAGAAGCAATTCTAAGGGAGCATACTATCAACTCAAATTTTCTTGATGAGTTAGAACCGAATGAAATATAATTGACAAGGATGAGAGTAATGTATAAATATCGTAATATTTATTATATTGTGAGAACATGGTGTTCTATGATGTTAATATTCAATATTTTAATTTTTTGTTAATTATATAATTTTAAAAATAAATTTCCTTATAAATGGTAATAATGTTGTGATTAATGATGAATAACAAATGGTCGCTAAAGTATTGACTAAAGGTAGTTTCTCGCCAAGGGCCATTTTGACAATTTAGCTAAAATTAAAAACCTTGAAAAAGTAAAAAAGTAAAAAATCTTGATTAAAGTCAAAATACTATATAGTAAATTTTATTACAATGGTCTAAAATCATTCGTGGTCCGATAGGAATTTAATATGCAGATCCAGAAGATTTACGTCATGCTTATACAACTCAGAATTAACTGAACTAAATATAAAGCTGTTAAATATATTTTATTTCTTGTAATAACATCTGATTTAAATGGATTTAACAATTTTGGAAAAATATTTCAATGAAAATGAAAGATTATTAAATACAGAAAATTTTTATGATGTAAAAATATATCTTGGCGTAGAACCAAACATTAAAGAAGTTCATGCACATGCATCTATCATAGCTGCTCATTGTCCATTTTTTAGCAATACATTAAGTGATGCAACAAAAGAAAATGGTTATTATATTGTTAAGAAAGCTAATATCAGTGAAAAATGTTTTAAGCCTATTCTCAAGTAAGCTTAAATAGATTAAATATTTATTAATTTATTATTATATTATTTTATTGAATATATAATAATGCTAATAATTTATTTTATTGTTAAAAGATTTTTATACACATGTAAAATTGAATTTGAAAGTTATTCTGGAGCTGAAGTATTAGAACTAATAATTGCAGCAGAGCAACTTGGTATTGAGTCACTCTATGAATGTATAATGAAATACTTTACAGAAAATCATGAAGATTATATAAAAGAAGAACTAGTTAAAATTTTACAATTGATTTATGCCAACAAAAAATTTAATCAATTGAAAAATATCTACTTGGAAAAATTTTGCAATTATAGTGGAAAATTATTTGAATCAAATGAATTTGAATTGTTGGAAAAACCAATTCTATTGGAAATTCTCAAAAGAAATGATTTTTCCATTGATGAAATGATTATTTGGGAAAACATTCTTAAATGGGGATTGGCAAAACATCCAGAAATCAATAATATCAGTGTTGAAAATTGGTCATCACAAAATTTTGCTGATTTAGGAGACACATTAAAAGAATTTCTTCCTCTAATAAGATTTCAGGATATTTCTAAAGAGGATTTTTTTGATAAAATTGAACCATATAATCTACTTTTTCCTAGAACTTTATGGAAACCACTTTTACAACATTATGTATTTCCTGATAGACAACAAACATTAAATTTATTACCATCAAGGAATCCAAATTCAACACTTGAATCATTGACTATCAATCAAAATCTTATTTTGCTTTTTGCAAGTTGGATTGATAAAAAAAGTCCACAATATAATTCACCCAGGGAAGTTAAATATGAATTTAAACTTATATATCATGGTAGTAGAGATGGTTTAAGCGTAGCTGCTTTTCATCAAAAATGTGATAATATCAATAAAACTCTCGTAGTTGGCAAATTACAAAACACAGATCAATTAGTAGGAGGTTATAATCCACTTGATTGGAATTTAAATAATGGAAATTCTATATTTAAAAATACAACTGAAAGTTTTATTTTTAACATTGGTAATAGAAATGATATTTATTCTGCACAGTTTAGTTATGTTATAAAGAATCATGATGAAGCAATTTACTGTCATCCTAGTCATTTAGCTCTTTTTGGTGGTGGTTGTGATGTTGTTTTTAGAACAAGCAGCACTATTGCTATTAACCATAATAGTAGTAATTCTTATAGTAACATTAATATAGTAAATGGTAGTAAATATGATGAATTAGAAGTATTTCAAATAATTGATAAAAAATAAAATACAAAATAAGTAATTATATTTTAAAGACTATTTCGCTTTAAATAGTAATACTTTTTTTTATTTACATATGCTACTACCTGGTTGTTCACAAATTTGTAAAAATTTATTATTAAGAAATATAAATTTTATATATCCCCAACTGCTTTTATTTATCTAATCAATTATTATTATTAATTGACTAAAGAAAAAAATGACAATTACTTCTGCTGCTAGTATTATTATTATCACAACATGGACTACGAAGGAAAAACAGAACTGATAAAGAAAATTTTTTTAATTGGCATATACTATTTATTTACATTACTGCATTATTATTATTCGAGTGATTCGTTAAAAACTTTCACGTGATTAAATTAACCAGTCAACTTCATAGTGAATTAACTGGAAAAATTTGTGCTCACCAGGAGAAAAATGGAAAAATGATGCAAAAAATATTTGATTATTATTATCTTAAAATAAACAAAATTATAATATAATAAAGCTTTGTTCCGGTTTAGAAAAACGTATCTCTTAAATCATAAGTTTAGTGATCGTGGATTACAAAGCATGGAATACAATGCTAAGAGCTGTAGAAATATTATTCCTTTCAATAAATTTCACCAGCAAGCTAGAATAATTATTCAATTTGATTGTTGGATTTATCTATTTTAAGCCAAAGTATTTTACATAATTGTTCTTGCCAATTAATATATACAAATTACCATTTTTTATTTCAGTATCTAGAATCATTGATCCTAAAACTCGACAAAATAATATTGATTTTTTATATAAATTTGGTTTTTTAAATGCACATTCCTATAAAATGATGAAACCTTTTGGAGTTGTTTCAAGTAAAGTTTTGGGTTAGATGGATATTGCAAAATACTTTTCGTGTGGCACATTACAAGATTTATAATTAATAATGCAATATTTATTTATATGCACAAGCTAATTAATTCTATATCAGGAACTAAAAGATCAAGCTTATGGATACAGGTGCAAGCATTTAGAAAAACCAGGATTGCCGAAGAAATAAATTTGATGCATTTTTTTCAAACAAAGCCAACTTTTCTATGGCTCTTATAATGTTGGCCACAAAACTAAGCTGCCAATGTATGTTTGCAAGATCAGAAAGCTTCTTTATGGAAAAAATATATCCAAATGAAATCTTTATGCTTCAATTGCAAAATGATAGGTATAAATATAGAAATGACTTGGGTTGATTGTCTTTAATTTGTGCTGGTTATGAATATAGCGTATTTGAAGATTTAAATAAAGTTGCAATAAAATATGTGAACAATAGTGGTATGCAGGTGATTGTTTTATAATTTTTTAATTAGAAGGCACATACGTGACAATTAAAGCATGATGAGTGTCTTGCTTGGTCATTGTTTACCACATGCTTTTGAGTGATGAACATATTCAAAATGCATGAATTGCTTAAAATCCAACTTTCGTAAAAAATTTGGAAAAATCGGTTACATTATTGCTAGAAAATGAATTGGAAAATATCAAAATTTACAGTATTATTATTTGGCACATTAAACAAGGAAGGTGTATTTAAATATCCGATTTAGATCTAATTTATTAGAACTGGATAAGAATAACGCTATAATAATTGTTGATTATAAAATAAGAATATTACCAAAAACAGCTTGAGAGACCAATAAACAAGATCTATGGTTTGCAGCATCTTCCTTAAGTACGGTTTTTGAAACAAATGTTAAAACTAAAATGGGTAGAATTATTTCTGATAATGGGCCTCTCCATCATTGTCAATATCATCATTTCCAACTGATGGAGCAACTCTTGATTCAACTTTCTTTCACTGTGTGCAAGCTTTGTAGACAGCTAAATAATCCTTTTTTTAGCATAATAAAACATTCGAAGGGTTTCGTTACTATTACTATAACATTTCAAGAAAAATTGAAATTGAAATTGTGTCACAATTAAAAAAACCAATGGTTCAATGGTACAATTGTCCGAACTGTTCCGGCACCTCAGTTTCAGTTATTGTTATTTTCTCACCGAGTTAATCTATTACTATCACAAGATAACGTCATGTTTATTATCAATATTAATAATATTATAATTATAATTTCGTAATTGATTACTATTTAAGAATGAGTTTTAGTTTTTTTTCTTTGAAAAAAAAAAGCTAAATTTTTTATTTGTATTTCTTTCTAATTTGAAAATGTGTCAAGGTGATAGATAATAATTGATTATTATTATTGTATTTAAAATTTTACCATATTTACTTGTTTGTTATATTTTCTATTACAGTGAAATTTAATCAAACAGTTTGCACAACACCATATTGTAATCGTCCAATTTACGTTGAACAAAATGGGTAAATAAAAAATAATAACAAATAAATTTTTTAAATAAATTAAATAAAAAAAATTATGATATTTTAATTTTTAAAAATCAGATATAAGCATCCATATTGTTGCTTAACCTGTGCAAGAAATAACGAACGAGCATTAAATGGAGTAGCAATCAGCGGTAATGGATGGAATAACAATTTTACTAAATGCAAGATTCACGAATGCAACAAACCAGTTTTTGTTGATAAATACGGACATCAACATCCATATTGTGGAAGAACTTGTGCAAAAAAAGATACGGTTGCAACAAAAAGCCCTGAAAATAATCAAAAAACGAACCAACATTCATTCATTCCATCGTCGCCACCAATTGATTCGATCAAACAATTGCCAGAAAGTCCAACAACAATTGGGGATAATTTATCATCTTCTTCCTCTACACCCCGTCATTTTTCTGACCAAAGTCCCTCAAATTATTCTACTCCATCTACTGAAACGCTTGCTTCAGAAGGGTTAGCTGGTGATAACGATATTGAAGATTTTGTTTTACTCGGGGACGAGGAAAAATGAAAATTTATTATTGTTGAATTCTTTTTGCAAATTAGTTGAACACAACACATCATGTATCTTATTATTTTTATTATTTCTTGTCAGATGTGAATATTTTTAATAAAGTTGCTAAAAAATTACAATACTATTGCCATTAGGATTATTTTAAAAAGAGAAAATCATTTATTAAATAATTTTTGTTCTTCACAACTGGGCTGGTTTTGACACTTTATTACTATTCCAATTTATTGAGCTAAATGTGATGATTAGATGGAATATTTGATGAAGATGTTGTGCATGAAATGAATTTTGCAATTCACAATATTAATATGTGAAATTCAAATTAGTCAACCCCAAACACCCACTCCCAAAATTTTAATTATAGGTTTCAATTTCAACAAAGATAAATTAAATTCTGTTATTAATGATCCAAATGATCTTAAATCTATCTTTTAAAAGTAAAAAACCATTTGAAATAATAATTGACTAAACATTAAATTAAATTGATCCTAACTTCAAATATTTTTGAAAATGCCATTTTCAGATCTTTTATTCCAATCATTTGACAGAGCTGTTTTAAAATGCGAAGACCTAGCTTTTAAAATTACAGGATAATTTTAACTTCATAAAAGTCTGCCTATTTAACAGGTTGATTAAATAATTTACAGGCTTACTTATAATGGTTTAACGAGAATTAATTTTTTTTTTGATAGCATTAACTAGCAAATAAAGAGAAATGCTATTATTTAATATTTTCAAAGTTTACAAAAAGCTATTTATTACATATAAATTGGTTCTTAAAACAACAATAAAATAAGTAATAATCTTTACATTTTGATTATTTTAATTTTTATCAATTATTTGAAAAACTTCTAGTTCATCAAATTTACTTCTATTTTTTATATTGATATTATTATAAACCCTAGGTCTAATTTCAATAGTACCATTAGTATAAAAACCAAGACCTATATAGAATAAATAACTACCAAATTTAGGTAAAAAAGAAGGATGACAATAAATTGCATGTTTACTATCAATAACATAACTAAATTGTGCAGTATTAATATCATTTCTATTACTAACATTAAATATAAAACTTTTGGTTGTATTTTTATATTCATAATCTCCATTCCAATTGAGGGGGATTGTAGCCTCCAACTATTTGATCTGAATTTTGTATTTTCCCAACTACAAGTGTTTTGTTGACATTATCACATTTTTGATGAAACATACTTTCATTTAAACCATCTCTACTACTGCAATATAAAAGTTTAAATTCATATTTTACTTCTTTGAATGAAGTGTATAGTGGATTTTTTTTATCAATACAACTTGCAAAAAACAATGTAAGATTTTGATTAATTGTTACTGATTCAAGTTCTGGAAATATTGATTCACTTTTTGGAATAATTCTTGATGGTAATAAATTTAAAGTTTGTTGTTCATCAGAAACCACATAATAGTCTAAAAGTATTTCCCATAAATCCTTAGGAATAAGCTTCTTAAAAGGCATAATTTTGGAATGAAAATCCTTATTAGTGATATCTTTAAATCTGATCAATAAAATTAAATCTTTTAATGTGTTTCCCAAATCAATAAAATTTTGCTTTGTCCAAACTTTAACATAATTAATATTATTAATTTCTGGATGTTTGACTAATCCCCATTTAAGAATTCCTTCCCAAATAATCATTTCATCAACATAAAAATCATCTCTTCCAAGTATAGCCAATAAAATTGGTTTTTCCAATAATTCAAATTCATTTAACTGAAATAATTTTTCACCATAATCACAAGATTTTTCTAGGCAAAGATTTTTCAATTTTTTAAATTGTTCATCATGAGAGTAGATTGATCTTAAGATGCTAATTGGATTTTCTTTAATGTAATTCTCATGTTTTTTGATAAAGTACTTCATTGTGTATTTATAAAATGACTCAATACCAAGTTCATCAGCTGCAATCAATAATTGCAATATATCAACTCCAGTATAATCATCTAATTCAATTTTACAAGTATATAAAAATCTTTTGAATATAAAATAAATATTATTACTACTATTATCCTTGTGGGTAAAAAAAAAAAAAAAAAATTTATAAATTTAATAATATAATGAACCTACCTAAGTATGGTTTTAAAAAACATTTCATTAAGATTTGCTTTTTTAACAATATAATAGCCATTTTCTTTTCTTGCATTAGTTAATGCATTTTGAAAAAATGGACAATGGGCACATATGATTGATGTATGTGCATGAAACTCTTTAATATTTGGTTCTATTCCGACATATATCTTTACATCATAAAAGTCTTCAGTGTTTAATAATCTTTCCTGCTCATTAAAATATTTTTTATATATTGAATTCATTTTTTAAAAATTGTTTTGGCGAGAATATAAAATTTTAAATGAGAATCAAAAAAAGGAATTAAATTTTTTTGTGATAGGTATTACCATTTTCACATCATTTACACGAAAAAATATAGATTTGAAAATTACTACGCACCATCTGGTATCTTTTCGCATGAATTTGATACCTCTGAAAATAAAGAAGGTGTATTTTCTATGTAAACCTTATAAGCAATCAATACATGACAATAATTATATTTGATTTATTCCTTAGTTAAACTTTCTGACTTTAAATATGTTAAAAAACCTTGCTTCAAAAGGTTGAAATTTACTTTACAAAATCACTTACAAAATCACCTGCACGTAAAAACAGATATTTGAGTCACTTGATATTCAACGGAATTCTTACGCTAAAAAATGATCACATTACCTATTACTTATTGGAAGAGTGAAATTTTGATAATTCATAACAGAATACTATAAATCTTACAGATTTCGTTTTTTAAAACTATACATATATATATAAAATATACAAAAACATCAAATTTCATATGCACAACCATATGAGTTACTACCTAGACCACAAAATAGTATTTTGCGCTCCAATGCTTCCTTTCAGGTACTGTATATCGATATTATCCAACATGTAAAAATTATTAGAGATTTTTTCTACATATGACTTCTTTTTTAGGGTTTCAGGTCTCAAATGGTGTGATCGAACCGATTAACATCCTTATTTTAACCCTTCCCCTCGTTAAATAGAGAAATTGTTTGATGAAAACAAAATAAAATACTACTACCAAGAAAAATATGCCAACTACTATTACGCTAATTCCTTATAAACATAAAATTTACACCGTCAATAAGTTTAATAAATTGCATGTACGATAATAATGTAGTGCTGAGTTGTAAATTGTAAACCTTTTACCAAAAAAAAAAAAGTAAAGGAACAAAATCGTTGATCAACGATTCAATCCATATTGTAATATATGTCACGCGCCCAATAATATATTTATTCAAAAAATATTTATTAACTATATACTAATTACTAATCTAATAATAATAATAATAAAAATTGCTATTATTATGTTATTCACAAAGGGTCAACAAATAATGGTGGTTTTCTTGAGAAGTGGACTAAAGCACTAATAAATTACATTAAAGAAAAATTTAACCTAGTACTAATACTACTAATAATATTACACGAGTTGAATTAACTCTAACTTTAATTCTAAACCTAAATCCTAATTCTAAATTCTAAATTCTAATTCTAATATTCTAATCCTAATTCTATTTTTTTTTTTTTAATCCTAATACTAATACTAATAATACTAATTTTATTTTTTTTTTAATACTAATTTTTTTACATTCTTTTTTTCTTTTTAAATAACTACCACTACTAGATTTTAGTCCACCTCGCCACCAAAAACCTTCATCCAGTCCATACCGTGAGTCTTCTGCCTTCCATGTCAAGTAAAAGAGCTATTTGAGAAGAAGAAAAGGAGATGACGACAAAATGATAAAGGTGATATAATGAAGGTTATAAAAAAGATGATGATAAACAATTATCTCCATAAATTAATAACTATTTACCAACTATCTGGATAAAAATCACAAACACCAAGTAAAAAAAACCAAAATTGCCTCTCCTCATCGACTCAACATTTATCTTTTCTCAAGTCGGCACTAACCAAGAACTTTCCCTTTTTTTTTTTTGAGATTAACGTGCGCTCATACAAATTAAAAGTTGTCTAACTTCAAAATTCCCATAAAAGAAAAAAATAAGATCATTATAATTAACACAATGTTATAATCAATCAACCAACTATTGTTAAATATATTTGATTGATTATTTAATTACCTGGCGCTTATAAAAAGTCAGCATAAACCTCAACAAAGGAAATAAAAAGCGGATCAGAAAGGAAGTGGATATGAAAGTGGAGGAATCAAAGTGGAAATATGGAAAGAAGAGAAGAAGACGGAGAGAAACGGAGGCGGATATGAAGGTGGAAGTGAAGATGAAGGTAAATGTCAAAGTGAAGATGGAGATGAAAAATGAAAGTGAAAATGTAGGAAGAAAATAGAGGTGGAAGTGGAGATGGAGATGGATGTGAAAGTGAAGGGGAAGGTAAAGATGAAATAAAGCGCAGATGGTGTGCAAAATAAAAGAGGAGATAGTGGTGGAAATGAAGATGGTGGAAGTGAAGCTATGCTATAACTTTTAAATAACTATTAAGGAAGTGATGAAATGCTAACTAAAGCCGCCTAATAAAATATGTAAATTAAATTACAATTAGTTAATTCTATCAATTTTAATGTCAAGAGCAAATTATTATTCACATACTTTTTACTTTCTGACAACATTATCCACAAACCAAACTAATATTTCCAGATAGTATTCCACCTATGGTTAATTGGCAATGATAATATAACAATATATTTAATATATCAATTTCAAACATATTGATTTATCAATAGAATTTGTATATATCATTAGTATTATTTAATATGATACTTACTGCCATGTGAACCCTTTTATTCTATAGGCCAAAGTTGGGTTAACGCCTTGCAACAAAACCTCAGGAAGAGGCAGCTTTTTGCAGTTCTGTTGGAGGCAACTGAGATGGCAACCAAACAGCACACAAAACCCAACATTGGCTGGCAACAGAATGTCT